AAATATTTTTTATAAAATCCACGAGCCTTTGAACGACCTCAAAAATATTTTTTTTAAAAAATCCACGACCTTTTAAAGGACCTAAAAATATTTTTTTTAAAAAATCGACGAGCTCGATGAGTGACTTCAAAATATTTTTTAAAACATCCACGAGCCTTTGAAGAACCTCACAATTTTTTTTTATAAAATCCATGAGGCTTTAAAGAAACTCGATATATTTTTTAAAACATCCACGAGCCTTTGAAGGACCTCAAAATATTTTTTAAAAACATCCACGAGCCTTTGAAAGACCTCAAAATATTTTTTAAAAACATCCACGAGCCTTTGAAAGACCTGAAAATATTTTTTAAAAACATCCACGAGCCTTTGAAGAACCTCACAATTTTTTTTATAAAATCCATGAGGCTTTAAAGAAACTCGATTAATTTTTTAAAAAATCCACGAGCCTTTGAAGGACATCAAAATATTTTTTAAAAACATCCACGAGCCTTTGAAAGACCTCAAAATATTTTTTAAAAACATCCACGAGCCTTTGAAGAACCTCACAATTTTTTTTATAAAATCCATGAGGCTTTAAAGAAACTCGATATATTTTTTAAAACATCCACGAGCCTTTGAAGGACCTCAAAATATTTTTTAAGAATTCCACGAGCCTTTGAAGGACCTTAAAATATTTTTTAAAAAATTCACGAGCCTTTGAAGGACCTCAAAAATATTTTTTGTAAAATCCACGGGCTTTTGAAAGACCTCACAATATTTTTTTTAAAAAATCCACGAGCCTCTGAAAGACCTCAACATATTTTTTTAAAAAAATCCACGAGCCTGGTAAATTCCTCAAAATATTTTTAAATATATCCGCGAGCCTGGTAGGTACTTTTTAAAAAGTCCACGAGCCCTAAAAGGACCTCAAGATATTTTTTAAAAAATCCAGGAGCCTTTGAAGGACCTCAAAATATTTTTTAGAAATTCCACGAGCCTTTGAAGAACCTCAAAATATTTTTTAAAAATTCATGAGCCTTTCAATGACTTCAAAATATTTTTTAAAAAATCCATGAGTCTTTGAGGGGCCTCAAAATATTTTTTCAAAAAATCCATTAGCCTTTGAAGGACCTCAAAATATTTTTTCAAAAATCCATGAGAACTTACAAAAATATTTTTTGGAATGTAAAACCAGTTTTTGGACCTATTCCTCCAAGGTTCCAAACGATATGTCAACCTGAATATACCCTTTTTTATGTGTCCTGCAACGAAATAGCATTTTAATCACCCAACAACTATTTGCAAGCAGCAAAATAAACCTCAGCCTTAAAGTATACTTTAGAAAATTCCTTTGCCAAGAAGCACAACATTAACATTTCCCTCAAGAATGCCGTCAAAGTTCCAACGATGTCACATCTAACAAGATGCCGTAGCTAGCTAGCTGGCCAGCAGATGGATGTTGGATAGAGGTGATGGTTAGTTTTTGGAAAATCTTCTAACAAAAGATGAGTGGAATTTAGAAGTTGTTGTCCAGTTGTTGTTGCTGTTGTTGTTTTGAGTAATTAGAACGGCACCCTTTCACCAAAAAAGAATGGAAGACACCTGAAAGTTTGTGCTGCTACCGTAGTAAGAAAAACTTCTTCTACACAATAAGAACTCTCCTTCTACGTCTTCGACTATCAACTATTTTTAAGGACCCTGGCAATAATAAATAACAACAAAAGTGGTCCCACAAAAAAAAAGGAGAGCAAACTTGTCCAATACCTTTGCAAATAAAAATTATTGTGGGCTTAACAAAAAGGGTTAAGTAGTTTTCTAAGAGCCATTTGCAGAAGTGAGCAACAGCTGGAATTTTTGGGAAGGGGGCTGTGAAAGAGAAAAGGGTTAGGGGAAGAAATTTTGTAAGAAGCTCTAGAAGGTACATTTTCGATTCTCGTGCAATATTTGAGACTTCTAGCATTGGTTCAATATTCCTTACCCTTTTGGTACCTCTTTAGCTTGAACTTGTGTTTCAAGGATCTGGATTCAATGGCTGGATATTGGCGGTAATTTGTCAGTCTGAGAAAAAAAGTATAAAAGTGGGACGTATTGAATATTTCTCTCCTTCTTCCTCTCTCTCTCTCTCTCTGGTTTTCCTCCCACATATTTTGACACCTTTGGTACATTTTAGCTCGAATTCGCATTTCAAGGATCTGGATTAAGCGGCTTGATCTGGGCGTTGATATGTCAACCAGATAGCAGAAAACCACTCATATGGAGGTAGGACTTGTCGAATGTTACTCTCCCTCCCTCTTTCTCTCCCTCTCTCTCTCTCTCTCTCTCTCTCTCTCTCTCTCTCTCTCCCTTGTTTTATTGTCTTTTTAGCTGGATTTTGCATTTCAAGGATGTGGATCCTACGACTCGATCTGGGCGTTGAGACTTGGAGATGGGAATTGTCGAATATTTCTCTCCCTTTCTCTCCCTATCTTTCTCTCTCTCTTGCTTTCTATCCCCAAACTTTGGGATTTTTGGTACCTTCTTAGCTTGAATTTGCGTTTCAAGGATCTGGATTCAGAGGCTTTTTCTGGGCATTGATATGCCAGCCAGATAGCAGCCATCTTTCCCATATAGAGATGGGACTTGTCGAATATTCCTCTGCCTCTCTCTCTCTCTCTTATTTTCTATCCAAAACCCTCCACAACTGCATCAAAGTAAAAAATGGTTCTCCCCCCTCCTCCATGTCCCAGAAGGACTGTTGATAAATCCTTTTAAGCATTTATTGCATTTCGAAGTAGCCGAAACTTTTCCATCTTCCAAGTTTCGGTACAAAACTACAACACCAACAATAACAGCAAAAGTTTCGGAAAAATACATTTGAACACTTTTTTCCTTGTATTTGGTGGCCTCGATCTAAGCAAATAAAAAACTTTTCTTTTAAAACAATATCTTTTTTCTCAGCCTTTTTTTCTTCTTTCGCTTAAGAAATGTTGTAAAAATTTTTCACAACAACAACTTCCTAACAGAACCAAAAAAAGTAAAAAAAAAATCAACAAAAAATACCAAACTCTTTCATTGGACATTTGTCTCCCAGCTTCCTCCCTTTCCCCTTCCCACCCTCTAAGAAAGTAGACCACAATATGTTGTTGCTGTTTTTTTTGCTGGCCATTTTTTTAAGACAGCAACACCCTGGGCTATGCAACCACATCCAACCCCTCTGCAGGTCAACTAGGCTGGGTCGAGTAGCCCCCTGTTCCCCTCAGACGATGGACACCAAAAATAGACATTGTTGAGGTTTTGCTGGCCAACCAAATGGCATAACTTACAGAGTATCGTTGATTTTTTCTTGGTTACCTCTTTGAACCAGGACAACCTTACATTAGTCCTCCCTCCTCCTTAAGGGTATCTTTTCGTAGAGTACTTTGCCGTTGTCTTTTTCTTTCTCTTCGTCTTCTTCGTGAAGTGTTAAATAAGCGCAAGTAGCAATTCGTCGTCTTTATTGCCGAATACTGGCCACCAAATGTTTCCATCCATATCAGCCGGCCAGCTTTTTTCAGGGAATGGAGGATGGATTGGATCTTGGTGGTCGCCCGAAAGAAAAAAATTCTCATTCCAAGTACTTTTTTGAGTTCGTTTTTTATTTGTGAATTCTCGTCTTGTTTTACAATCCTGGAACTTTATTAGAGTTGTTGTTTTTGCAAACACTTGTTAAACAAGTTACGCAAATTGGATATGGGGAAACTCAGGGCAAAAATCAAGTGGCCTGTAATTCTCACAAAAATATTTAAAAAAATCCATAATATTTTTTAAAAAATCCACGAACCTCTGTTGAAGCTTAAAATATTTTTTAAGAAATCCATGACCCTCTGTAGAAACTTGAAATATTTTTTAAGAAATAAACGAGCCTCTGTAGAAACTTGAAATATTTTTTAAAAAAATCCACGAGTCTCTGTAGAAGCTTAAAATATTTTTTAAAAAAATCCACGAGACTCTGTAGAAACTTAAAATATTTTTTAAAAAATCCACGAGCCTCTGTAGAAGCTCAAAATATTTTTTAAAAAACCCACGATTCTTTGTAGAAGCTAAAAATATTTTTTAAAAAATCCACGAGCCCCTGGAGAAGCTCAACATATTTTTTAAAAAATCCATGAGCCTCTGTAGAAGCTTAAAATATTTTTTTAAAAATCTACGAGCCTCTTTTGTAGCTCAAAATATTTTTTAAAAAATCCACGAGCCTCTGTAGCAGCTTAAAATATTTTTTAAAAATCTACGAGCCTCTTTTGTAGCTCAAAATATTTTTTAAAAAATCCACGAGCCTCTGTAGCAGCTTAAAATATTTTTTAAAAAATCCACGAGCCTCTGTAGAAGCTTAAATATTTTTTAAAAAATCCACGAGCCTCTGTAGAAGCTTAAATATTTTTTAAAAAATCCACGAGCCTCTGTAGAAGCTTAAATATTTTTTAAAAAATCCACGAGCCTCTGTAGAAGCTTAAATATTTTTTAAAAAATTCACGAGCCTCTGTAAAAGCTTAAATATTTTTTAAAAAATCCACGAGCCTCTGTAGAAGCTTAAATATTTTTTAAAAAATCCACGAGCCTCTGTAAAAGCTTAAATATTTTTTAAAAAATCCACGAGCCTCTGTAGTAGTTTAAAATGTTTTTTTAAAAATCCACGAGCCTCTGTAGAAGATTAGAATAATATTTAAAAAATCCACGAGCTTTTGTAGAAGCTTAAAATATTTTTTAAAAAATCCACGAGCCTCTGTAGAAGCTTAAAATATTTTTTGAAAAATCCACGAGCCTCTGTAGAGGTCTTAAAATATTTTTTAAAAGATCCACGAGCCTCTGTAGAAGCTTAAAATATTTTTTTAAAAAATCAACGATCATTTGTAGTACCTGAAAATAGTTTTTAAAAAATCAACGATCATTTGTATTACCTGAAAATAGTTTTTAAAAAATCCACGAGCCTCTATAGTACCTGAAATTAATTTTTAATAAATCAACGAGCCTCTTTAGTACCTCAAAATATTTTACGAACTACGAAATCTCCTTAAAAATTCATAATTTATTTATTAAAAAACCTAACAACATTAAACTATATTTTTGGTTTATCAAAAAAGAAAATTAATTTCCACCTTCTGCTGGCAATTGACATTTCTCTTGATAAGGAACTCTATGGAAAATACTGCAGAACCCAGCTGCCACACCCTACTCATGTCTTTGTTTCTTCTATAGTTTTAAAATTTCCATTTCTCAGCTTGGGATCAGTCGTCGAAGGCACAGTGGGTTTCTTTTGGCGTTGACGTTCTATCCAACGTCTGGCAAAGGGTGAGAGTAGTGTCGAGTCCACGCTGTCGATTTTGTGGGTACCCAAGGCAAAGGTGACGGCCAGGGCTATGGCTATGGTGATGACAGCCCCCACCATCGTGTAGAAGAGATAGGAAATGTGATAGACCTTGAGGGAGGGGGGACTGAAAATGAAATAAGAGGAGAAATATTAATTGGGGATTTTTTGAAAATTTACGTTTAGTTCTCACCTTACTTCCTCCAGGACCTCTGTAATATTTTCCGATACCTGGCTCATGGGTATCAAATCCACAAAGGTGTAATTACATCCCATCGTTGTATAGGGTTTTCGTATATATTTCACCGCACCACTGGCCAAATCCAGTTGGGCCGAAACACACATCCATATCATGAAGGTCAGGCTGACAAAGCCGCCCACCAAGGCACCCTGGAGAAGATTTTCACAATTTATATATTTTATATTATATTCTACTATATTAGACCTACCGTTCCCCCAACCCAGGGTATCATTAGACCCGCCGTAAATATTCCCAGTAGCGGTCCATTGGCCACCGATGACAGGGTAATACTTAGCTGCAGTACAGTGCCCAATTGTTCCACCACAAAAACCAGGCCCACACAGAGGGCCCCGAACAGCACCACCACAAAACGCATAATAAAGGCCGTCTGCCGTTTTGTCAGAGGCTTTTTGACAAACATTTTAAAGAAGTCCTCCAAAATGACAGCAGACATGGAATTTAAACCCGTGGACAGAGAAGACAAAGCGGCACTGAAAACTCCGGCCACAAAGAGACCAGGCAAGCCAGGGAAATCTTTCAGGGTCTCCATGACCAAGAGAGACAAAAGTTGGTCCTTGCGCTTGGCGAGCTGAGAATGTGAAAAAGTAGAATTTTTTTTATTTTTCCTTGAGAATATTTTTTTTTTTAAATTTCCCACCTTCGTCTCCAGTGGATCACATTCCGAGTAGGTGGCATAGATCAGCAGCCCACTATAACCACAGATGACCAAAAATATCAGCACACCCGCAATGAAATACCAAATAGCCTTGCGGGCAGCTGCCAAAGTGGGCAGGGACAAATAACGCTGGATCATATTCTGATTGATGGCATTCGATTTCAGCCAATGGGGGACACCACCAATGACCAGGGACCATATTGTATAACGTTCAAAGATGTCAAAGGTAAAGCTGGAAGCAAAAAAATCCAATAAATATTTTTATTTAATTTTGGATAGAAAAAAAATCCCCTACTTGGGCGCCTCAATTCTCCCGCTATCCATGGCCTTGCGGAATACCACTGCCGGTCCGCCAATATCCATGGTGCCCTTGATCATTATCAACACCATGGCACCGCACATAAGCAGGGTTTGCACCACATCCGTCCATACAACGGCCTTTAAACCACCCTACAATGAAAACAAACAGAAATATTTAATTGCGCCTTGAAGTATGCTTTGATTTTTGTATTTTGCGTTTTATTAGGGTTTAGATTTGTTTTTATTTTAATTTCTTTGTACCACTCACCACACAGGTATAGAAAATACACACCAGACACACCATGGGTGTCACCAGATGTATATTGGCCCCGGTGGCCTGATTGAAGGCCAATGCCGGAACATATATCACAATCGGAAGCCAGAGCATCTAAAATGTGGAGGGGAATATTTAAATGAAAAGCCATCCTTGTCCCATTTCTTAGGCAATACTTACCGTACCACATATAAACAGCACCGAACCAAAAAGGCGAACTTTCTTGTCGAATCGGGATTCCAAATACTGAAAACAGAAGGAATTGCCAGATTTAAACGGAATTCATTTTTTTTTTTCAAAAAAGAAGAGTTATTTAGATTTTTTTTTTGAAAATTGGAAATTTTGAAACATGTTCCCTGTTCCCGAAATGCAAGAATCTACCAAATTTTCTTACGATTATCGATTTTTCCTTTGTGATATCGAAAAAATTGCAAAACTAGTATATTCTTCCAGGTTCAGGAACAGATCAATAATTTCCTTACCTGATATGTGGAGATAAGTTTCAGTTCATGATACACCGGCAGATAGAAGTAATGCATCAGAAATCCCATGGAGATCATGGCCACAATAATGTACAAATATTGGGTGCCATACAAATAGATTTCGGTGGGAGTGCCCAGCAAGGTTATGCCCGAGATGAAACTGAAAAAAAAATAAATAAGAAATCAAAATATTTTTTTTAAAAAATCCACGAGCCTCTGTAGAAGCTTAAAATATTTTTTAAAAAATCCACGTGCCTCTGTAGAAGCTTAAAATATTTTTTAAAAAATCCACTACCCCCGGTGGTGGTAAAAAATCCACGAGTGTATGTAGAAGCTTAAAATATTTTTTAAAAAATCCACTACCCCCGGTGGTGGTAAAAAATCCACGAGTGTATGTAGAAGCTTAAAATATTTTTTAAAAAATCCACGAGCCTCTGTAGAAGCTTAAAATATTTTTTAAAAAATCCACGAGCCTCTGTAGAAGCTTAAAATATTTTTAAAAAATCCACGAGCCTCTGTAGAAGCTTAAAATATTTTTAAAAAATCCACGAGCCTCTGTAGAAGCTTAAAATATTTTTTAAAAAATCCACGAGCCTCTGTAGAAGCTTAAAATATTTTTAAAAAATCCACGAGCCTCTGTAGAAGCTTAAAATATTTTTAAAAAATCCACGAGCCTCTGTAGAAGCTTAAAATATTTTTTAAAAAATCCACGAGCCTCTGTAGAAGCTTAAAATATTTTTTAAAAAATCCACGAGCCTCTGTAGAAGCTTAAAATATTTTTTAAAAAATCCACGAGCCTCTGTAGAAGCTTAAAATATTTTTTAAAAAATCCACGAGCCTCTGTAGAAGCTTAAAATATTTTTTAAAAAATCCACGAGCCTCTGTAGAAGCTTAAAATATTTTTTAAAAAATCCACGAGCCTCTGTAGAAGCTTAAAATATTTTTTAAAAAATCCACGAGCCTCTGTAGAAGCTTAAAATATTTTTTAAAAAATCCACGAGCCTCTGTAGAAGCTTAAAATATTTTTTAAAAAATCCACGAGCCTCTGTAGAAGCTTAAAATATTTTTTAAAAAATCCACGAGCCTCTGTAGAAGCTTAAAATATTTTTTAAAAAATCCACGAGCCTCTGTAGAAGCTTAAAATATTTTTTAAAAAATCCACGAGTGTGTGTAGAAGCTTAAAATATTTTATAAAAAATCCACGAGTGTATGTAGAAGCTTAAAATATTTTATAAAATATCTACGAGTGTATGTAGAAGCTTAAAATATTTTTTAAAAAATCCACGAGTGTATGTAGAAGCTTAAAATATTATTTAAAAAATCCACGAGCCTCTGTAGAAGCTTAAAATATTTTTTAAAAAATCCACGAGTGTATGTAGAAGCTTAAAATATTTTTTAAAAAATCCACGAGTGTATGTAGAAGCTTAAAATATTTTTTAAAAAATCCACGAGCCTCTGTAGAAGCTTAAAATATTTTTTAAAAAATCCACGAGTGTATGTAGAATCTTAAAATATTCTTTTAAAAATCCACGAGTGTATGTAGAAGCTTAAAATATTTTTTAAAAAATCCACGAGCCTCTGTAGAAGCTTAAAATATTTAAAAAAAAATCCACAAGCCTCTGTAGAAGCTTAAAATATTTTTTAAAAAATCTACGAAATGTCCTTAAAAATTCATAATTTATTTATTTAAAAAATCCTAACAACATTATATTATATTTTTGGTTTATCAAAAAAGAAAATTCATTTCCCCCTTCTCTTGGCAATTGACATTTCTTTTGATAAGGAACTCTATGGAAAATACTGCAGAACCCAGCTGCTTCGCCGAACTCATGTCTTTGTTTCTTCTATAGTTTTGAAATTTCCATTTCTCAGCTTGGGATCAGTCGTCGAAGGAACAGACTTGGTGGATTTCGAAATGGAAGATTTTGAAGAATTTTTTGGTGTAAAACGTAAACATTTTCCAAATATTCTTTTTGAAAAATGAAAATCTTGAATAATAAATTAAAACTTGAAATTCTTGGTTAAGTTTTGGGTCTTTTTTAAAAAAAATCAAAATTACGCTACAAAAAAATTAAATTGGTAACCATATTTCACTGATAATTAGTAAGTCTACAAATTTCATTTCTTTGGAGACTCTTGGTGAAATTTTATGTAGAATAATTCTTCCATTGACACTTTTATCCAAAAACGAAAATTAGTAAAGATTTTGGTTGTTTTTCGAAAAGACCCAATATATTTTTCCTCATTTTTCTCAGTTAATAGTTACCTTAATTTTTTTTTCATTTATTTATTTTAAATTTTTATTACAAAAATATTTTCATAGATGTAATGGAAAATAAATTATTTACAACAAATATTTTTATTACTTTTTATTTCAAAACTGTGTTTGTTTTTATTTTAAACGCTAGACTGCAAAAAAACGTGTTACAATTTTCTTAGTAACCGCTCGACGTGATATTGCCTGGGTTTTCTCTCTCAAAAAAAAATCCCACATGTATTGTTGTAATTATAAATTATTATTTTTTGTTGGGATTAAATCATATAGTTACCAAATAATGACAGTTACAAATTATATATATTTAGTGTGGTGTATTTTTTTTTTTTTTTTGATTTTTTTAATTTTGTCACACAAAATGTTTTGCTGCACACGATGAGAACAGAGGGGTCTGTCGCAGCAAATTACTTTGTGGGAATTCTAATATTTTTTTATTTTATTTAAAATAATAGAATTGTAAGTTGTGACCGCCTAAATACTGTAAATAAGGAAACTGGGCAATTTATTAAGACATGAGTAGATCATGTGTGTCGGAAAAATGGAATAGATGTAGATAAAAGTATGAATGAATGAAATCTAGTGATAAGCAGATGGGATGTGACCAGACATTAATGTTCCGCAAGTGCGGTCACTGAGATGCCTTATAATTAAAATTTAACATTCTCAGCTGGCACAGAAAAAAAAAAAAACAAAACTACTTTTTCCATTTCAAGTTAATAATTAGCGGTAAATATTTCACAGCTGTTTTGAAAAATCGAATAACTTCGATTTTCTTTGGAATTTATTTATTTGAAAATACTTTTTTGTTTTGTTGGTATGCAGGGTGAGGTAAAAAAAACTTCAACAAAGTCTAACGCCATAATCTTTGATTTTTAAATTTAAAATTTATTTTTATTTTTTTTTTTATTTATTTTTTTTTTTTTTTGAATGAAAGAAAAAAATGTCGGAAATAGCATCTGATTTTAGAATAAGTTTAGATTTGTTCGAATTGGTCACCTTTGGCTCGAATTATGGTCTTCAAACGGCCAATGAAACCGTCACACATTGCCCGAATGTTGCTCTACGGTATTTTGGCCTATTCCCGGCGAAGCGCTTGCTGGAGGTGATCGATACTTTGGTATTTTTACAGATACCAAATTAAAAAAAAAAATAAATAAAAATGTGTCATAAATTTTTTGCTCAAATTTTGAGGATATGCATTATATTTACAGGTTTCTTTTGCTTGGAGACTAACAATGGAATTTGATGCTGAATATTTCTCCCTTTGATACTAGGCCTTAAAAACCAGAATTTATGGATGAAAATGGGCAATTATTAAATCGACTAAAAACAGACATCAAAAATGACAAAATGTATTTTATGTTATACGTTGATTTTGGGATTCAAAATTTTTAGATTTATGTAATACTTAGAGGTTTTCTTTTTTAGGAGACCTATAGTGAAATTGAGTGGAGCATATTTTTTACTTTACATGTATCCCCTTAAAATTAATGAGAATGTGAAATTTTGGCACAAAATCAAAAATGTACCAAATTAAAAATAATAATAATAATAAAAAAAATTTGTCATTAAATTTTTTTGCTCAAATTTTTAGGATATGCATTATATTTACAGATTTCTTTTGCTTGGAGACTAACAATGGAATTTGATGCTGAATACTTCTTCCTTTGATGCTGCACCTTAAAAACCAGGATTTGTGGATGAAACTGCAAAATTATTAAATCGACCAAAAACAGACATCAAAAATGACAAAATATTTTTTATGGAATATTCCGATATTAGAATTCAAAATTTTTTGATTTGTGTAATAACTAGAGAATTTCTTTTTTAGGAGACCTATAGTGAAATTGAGTGGAGCATATTTTTTACTTTACAACTATCCCCTTAAAATTAATGAGAATGTGAAATTTTGGCCCAAAGGCAGAAAGGTATCAAATTAATTGTAAAGAAATTACTAATATAAATTTTCTTTTAGACCCAAATTATTATCCATTTTTAACTGATATATGATAACCCTAGAGAGTACTTGTGGTCTGCGACCCACACTGAAATTCGATGAAGATTTTTTCTTCCATTGACACCAAAGTCATTTAAGCAGATTTTTAGGGGGAAATTTACATAACTTGAAAGCGACCAAAATACTATATATATAATTTTTGACCAAAATTATTGCCCATTTTTAACTGAGATATGGTAACCCTAGAGAGTACTTGTGGTCTGGAACCTATAATGAAATTTGATGGAGAATTTTTCTTCCATTGGCACCAAAGTCATTTAGGCAGATTTTTAGGAAGAAATTTGCATAACTTGAAAGCGACCAAAATATTATATACATCTTTTAGACCCAATTTATAGCCCATTTTTAACTGATGTATGGTAACCCTAGAGAGTACTTGTGGTCTGCGACCTATAGTGAAATTTGATGAAGATTATTTCTTCCATTGACACCAAAGTCATTTAAGCATATTTTTAGGGAGAAATTTGCATAACTTTAAAGCGGCGAAAATATAATATATATTTTAGTGGAATATTTTATATCTGCATATTGGTAGCCATATTTTCATGATAAATCTTCTACTTATGGATTTTAATTATATGGTAACCATTAATGAAATTTGATGTAGAATATTTCTTCCATTAACACCAATCTTCTAAAACCCAAGGTTCCGGAGAAATGTACATAGTTTGAAAACGACCAAAATTGCCTATTATTCATAGAGCAGTCCCAGTTCAAATATCCATATTGGAATTGATATTTTCATTATATATATTTTTCCTAGAGATTTCTTGTGGTCGGTGACTAATTGTGAAATTTTATGCAGAATATATCTTCCTACAGTATAAGTCTCCCAAAACAACGATTTCTTGGAGAAAATGGCAAAAATTGAAAGTGACCAAAATATTACGTCTATTATTTGAAAATCTTTGGTTATTATGTCATTAATGGTACTGATTTTTTTCGATATATACTAAATCCAGAGATTTCTTTTATTTGGCAACCCCCCATGAAATTCGATGTAGAAAAATTCTTCTTTTGAAGCCATCCCTCTAGAATCGGTTTCTATGGGAGAAAACTGCATATTTAAAATTCGACCAAAACATTATATACATATTTTAATAGAATATTTTATGTCAATATTGGTAGCCCTATTTTCAAGCTAAATCTTTTACTTATGGATTTCAATTATTTGGTGGCCCATAGTGAAATTTGATTCCGAATATTTCTTCCATTAACACCAACCTTCTAAAACCCAAAGTTCCGTAGAAATTTGCATAAATTTAAAACAACCAAAAGTGCCTATTATTCATAAAGCAGTTCTTGCACAAATATCTATATTCGAATCGATATTTTCATTACATATGTTTCTCCTAGAGATATTTTGTTGTCGGGGAGTCGTTACGAAATTTTATGTAGAAAATATCTTCTTTTAGTATAAGTCTCCCAAAACCACGATTTCTTGGAGAAAATGGCAAAAATTGAAAATGACCAAAATGTTATATCTACTATATTTGAATCTTTGGTAATTACCTCATTATTGGTACTGATCTCTTTCATGATATATACTGTATCTAGAGATTTCTTTTCTTTGGCGACCCCCAGTAAAATTCGATGTAGAATATTTCTCTCATTGACATCATTCTTCTAGAACCAGGTTTTATGGGAGAAAATTGCATATGTAAAAATCGACCAAAATAAAATATCATACAATTATTTCGTGTTTTTTAAAGCCCACAATTCAATTGATTTTTTTAAGATTTCTATTGCAGACCGAGCCTTCGTTTCTTCAGTGACCTATAGTGAAATTTCGTAAGGAATATTTTTTTCATTGACCTCATCCCTCAAAAATTAAGTTAAACTATCAATATTGGCCCTATTTGGCAAGCATACCAAAAAATACCCCAAATAACTTGTATATCTTTTTTAGACCCAAATACTTTTTATACCCCAATTCGCATAATTTGTGCCACAGATTAAGTGTTGAATAGCTTATCCATTCATCCACCAAATAGCTCATAAAATAGTAACGCCGCTAATTGTTGTATCTTTCTTCTCGGCTGGCATAGCTAATTGTTCGGAAGAAACGTTGCAGATTATGTTTTATTTTATTTTTCATTATTTTTTGCTTTTGTTGTAGGAAGAAATGAAATCAAAAGTTTAAACTAAGATTTATCTCTTTTGTTGTTCTTATTGTTGTTGTCGTAGGCTGGACGCGAATTATAAAGTGACACGAGCAACACACACACACACACTCTCATACGTTCACTTACTTTGTCCACTTGCAACAAAAGAAAGCTCCACAAATCAAAAGAATAAAAGGTAGCATTAATTGACCTTTAGATTTGACAATAAGTAGATAGATATATTTATGTGTGAGATGTGAATGAAATTCATCTTGTTCAAGGTCGAGGTTTTGGGGTTGGATGAAAATGTGTCTTTGATAAGATTTTTCTGTGAAAAATTTATCTTCAATAAAATTTTCTCCTGGAAAATGTATCTTTGAAGTTTTTTCAATAGGGAAATGTATCTAAACTATTTTTCCTAGAAACTACGTATCTACGGTAGAATTTTTGAAGGAAAAATGTATCTATGAGATGATTTTCTATAGAAAAGTGTATCTTCAAAAGACTTTTCTATAGAAAAATGTATCTTCAAGATATTTTTCCATAGAAAAGTGTATCTTCAAGATATTTTTCCATAGCAAAGTGTATCTTCAAAAGATTTTTCTATAGAAAAATGTATCTCCAATGTATTTTTCTATAGGAAAATGTATATTCAGTATATTTGTCTATAGCAAAGTGTATCTTCAATAGATTTTTCTATAGAAAAATGTATCTTCAATATATTTTTCTACAGGAAAATGTATCTTCAATAGATTTTCCTATAGAAAAGTGTATCTTCAATATATTTTTCTATAGAAAAATGTATCTTCACAAGATTTTTCTATAGAAAAATGTATCTTCAATAGATTTTTCTTTAGAAAAATGTATCTTCACAAGATTTTTCTATAGAAAAATGTATCTTCAATTGATTTTTCTATAAAAAAAATGTATCTTCATTAGATTATTCTACAGGAAATGTATCTTCAATATATTTTTCTATAGACAAATGTATCTTCGATATATTATTCTATAGAAAAATCTATTGAAGATACATTTTTCTATAGAAAAATCTATCGAAGATACATTTTTCTATAGAAAAATCTATTGAAGATACATTTTTCTATAGAAAAATCTTGTGAAGATACATTTTTCTACAGAAAAATCTATTGAAGATACATTTTTCTATAGAAAAATCTATTGAAGATACATTTTGCTATAGAAAAATCTTGTGAAGATACATTTTTCTATAGAAAAATATATTGAAGATAAGAAAAATGTATCTTCAATAGATTTTTCTATAGAAAAATGTATCTTCATCTGATTTTTCTATAGAAAAATGTATCTTCAATATATTTTTCTATAGAAAAATGTATCTTCACCTGATTTTTCTATAGAAAAATTTATCTTCAATAGATTTTTCTATAGAAAAATGTATCTTCAATAGATTTTTCTATAGAAAAATGTATCTTCAATAGATTTTTCTATAGAAAAATGTATATTCAATAAATTTTTCTATAGAAAAATATATCTTCAATAGATTTTTCTATAGAAAAATATATCTTCACAACATTTTTCTATAGAAAAATGTATCTTCAAGAGATTTTTCTACAGAAAAATGTATCTTTAATAGATTTTTCTATAGAAAAATGTATCTCTAATAGATTTTTCTATAGAAAAATGTATCTTCAATATATTTTTCTATAGAAAAATGTATCTCCAATATATTTTTCCATAGAAAAATGTATCTTCACAAGATTTTTCAATAGAAAAATGCATTTTCAACAGATTTTTCTATAGAAAACTGTATCTTCATCTGATTTTTCTAATAGAAAAATGTATCTTCAATAGATTTTTCATTAGAAAAATGTATCTGCAATAGATTTTTCTTGAGAAAAATGTATCTTCAATAGATTTTTCTCTAGAAAAATGTATCTTCACCTGGTTTTTCTATAGAAAAATTTATCTTCAATAGATTTTTCTATAGAAAAATGTATCTTCAATAGATTTTTCTATAGAAAAATGTATCTTCAATAGATTTTTCTATAGAAAAATGTATCTTCAATAGATTTTTCTATAGAAAAATGTATATTCAATAAATTTTTCTATAGAAAAATATATCTTCAATAGATTTTTCTATAGAAAAATATATCTTCACAACATTTTTCTATAGAAAAATGTATCTTCAAGAGATTTTTCTACAGAAAAATGTATCTTTAATAGATTTTTCTATAGAAAAATGTATCTCTAATAGATTTTTCTATAGAAAAATGTATCTTCAATATATTTTTCTATAGAAAAATGTATCTCCAATATATTTTTCCATAGAAAAATGTATCTTCACAAGATTTTTCAATAGAAAAATGCATTTTCAACAGATTTTTCTATAGAAAACTGTATCTTCATCTGATTTTTCTAATAGAAAAATGTATCTTCAATAGATTTTTCATTAGAAAAATGTATCTGCAATAGATTTTTCTTGAGAAAAATGTATCTTCAATAGATTTTTCTCTAGAAAAATGTATCTTCAATAGATTTTTCTATAGAAAAATGTATCTTCAATAGATTTTTCTATAGAAAAATGTATCTCCAATATATTTTTCTATAGAAAAATGTATCTCCAATCGTTTTTTCTTAAGAAAAATGTATCTTCAATAGATTTTTCTATACAAAAATGCATCTTTAATAGATATTGCTATTAAAAAATGTATCTTCAACAGATTTTCCTATAGAAAAATGCATCTTTAACAGATTTTTCTATAGAAAATTTCGATTTTTCTTTAGAAAAATGAATCTTCAATCGATTTTTCTTTAGAAAAATGTATCTTCAATAGATTTTTCTATGGAAACATGTATCTGCGCTTCATCTTTCTTTTGAAAAATGTATCTTCAATAGATTTTTCTATAGAAAAATTTATCCTCAATGAATTTTGTTTTGGGAATGTCTGACATCCTTTTTTCTCCCATTGTGTGAGGGACTTAATTTTTTTTCATCCTTCTACTCACCTTGATATCAGCGACATGGCAATGGGAAATATTTTCATTTTCCTACCACCCACCAGATAATCATCCTCAGCATCCTTATTCGTTAAATCCTGATTGAGTTTAGATTTTCGACGCATTTGCAAAGCAAAGTAGACACCAATGGCGGCGCAGCTGGCCAACATTAAAATAAAGACCATATAATCTACCCAGCCGAAGCTTTGTAGACTCTGGCGAACCTCGTCGACATTCATTTTGTATAACAAAAATATTTAAATAACTTCACAAAAAATATTTAATATTTATTTTTATGAGGTTTTTCGAGAAAACCCCAAAAAAATGTATTTCGTTATCCTTTTCTAGTATGTCTCACAGTTTTCATATTTTTTCTTATTTCCGTTTCCTTTACTTGCACTTATTTTTTTGAAAATTGTTTTTTCTATTCAGTTTTCAAGCGTATTTTCGAATTTTTACGCTTCACCGTACTTGATCTCAATTCGTTCGTTTTCCGTCTAAAACTAAATTTGAGCAAGCATTTGCATTTCTTCTTATTAGCTTTGCTTATTCTTACAAGTATTTTTTCTGTAGAACTTTGCTTTCTAAAGTAATTTCCTCATAGAGATGATCGCCTGCTGTGCGATTGAGACACAGAGAGAGAGCGGAGATTTAGCGAGAAATCTTTACAATGGCTTTAAGTTTAATTGTATTTAGGCGAGATTTTCATTTAGAACAAATTCATGGGGACAGTGGGGTAGGATGGGGAAGAAAAGAGAGAAATAAATAATTCAAGGATGAAACAGTACTGGAGGTCATTCTTTTCTAACAAAATTTAGGTAAAATTTCTTATTTTTCTTCCCAACCTTTTTCAAATATTCAAAATTGTCTAATCGACGACGCCATCTACATTTGAATATTCCACAACAAATATTACCTAAGATCCCCACCTCACCTATTAAGAGATGTCATTACAACAAATCATTAGGAGGTGGCGCCGAGCAATTCAAGTATTCCAATGAAACCCTAGATTTTTTTTCGAAAGAGTTACCTTAGAGTGAATTCAAATTTGTCTGAGTACTTTCAAGAGAAAACTTTCACAATATTTGGCCTAGTTCTTCAAATGCTGAAGTAGAGTCTAAATCGATGATCTGATAAATAAAAAAAATAGGCGATCTCCCACAATGTATTCGGAATAGTTTGAACTCGAGCGGAACTCGAAATATTGTCATGATCGGTTATAATAAGGTCTAATCAGTATAGTCTAGTCTATAACGTGTTCCAAATTGGGTTTTACTTAATTACTAATACTTAAACAACTTCAGATTTCTCAACAGATATCTTTGAGACATTAGCAAGAAACTTCGGATAAAAATGCCGAATTTCATAGGAATGTATAGTCTAAGACTCGTTCAGTTTTTGAGTCAAACTTTTCTCTTGAGCTCACAAATTTATTGTACACCATATGGATGCTCGGCTTACTTAACCTTTTGTCCGATAGATCAAAAAATTTCCAAATATTTTCCTTTTTCAATTTTTTGTGAAGCGACATCTACATGTCATCGTTTAACTCGCTTCTCCGGATAAATTATCAATACTTTTGACACCACTGGGTTTATGGCTCTAATAGACATTTTGTGATTTTTTTAGTAGAACCCCCATAAACTACCTACTCACGTAGAATGCTTAATTAATTTTATGGCAGAATAAATAAAATTATTTATAAGTGTAAAACAAAATCTCTCAACGAGTCAGATCAAACTGGACGCTTTAATTTACTTTCTACACCGTTTGGATTCTCAGCTTATTGAACCCCTTCCCCAAAATATGGATCATTTTTCAGAAAACTTTACGGAGTTTTAGCCTGTTTATAAAATTCTTATGAAGCGACATCTATATTTCTTTATTTCAATCACCTCTACTAATTCAATCAAAGAATAAATTTTATTGACACCACCAGGTGTGTGTCGCTCTTATTGAGAAATAGAATACGGTCTTGTGATTTTTGTTGTAAAACCCCCACAAACTACCTACTAACGTGGAATGAAAAATAGAGGGAATTATTTAAAATAATGACTCCCACGATTTTTTTAATTTATCGACAGCGACAGCGACGTTGGCAAACATGTCGGATAAAAATTCAGAATGTCGCATGGAAGTATAATCTAGAACTCTCTGAAAATTTTTAGAATGAAATTACCCGTAAATTTTGTAAGAATCTATATCAAACTTGAATCTTAAGGGCTATCCCTCTGGCCTGCTGTAGCCAAAATTGTTACTCATAGTTAGAGGACCATAAGAGCCTGTTCTTTATATTATACTTATAATATATTGAAAGAGTTTTTGCCACCGAATAATCCAAAATACCATTTTCAGGCAAGACGATTGAAAAATTTGGCCAAGACCCTCGCAATAAATAAAATCTTGGGCTATCTCTATATATAAGAGCCAAAAACGACTAAAACGTGTACCTATACTGGTAATTTTTAAGGTAGTGTTTCTAAATAAAAAAAAAAACATATATCAAAATAAAATATCAAAATTTGGCGAAAATTCGTGGAAAATATAGCTAAAACGTAAAAAATATTAAAATCGATCTTTACCCTTTATATAGGGACTATACCAAAAAATGAACCGACATGAACCATTTTTCCAAACAATGATTCTTGGAAAAAATCCTCAGCTCTCTAGGAATTTTCAAAGCTCCATATAGAATTTTGCCAAATATATCAGAAAATATTGGGGTACAATTAAAATATTGTAAAGGCTATATAAAGGTCTTAACAAAGTTTGGCCTAAGGACCCGAAACTCTTTTCAAGATTTTGATCTACAAGCCAACTTCTATAAAATCTTCTTTGGAATTTCTCAAAGCCCAGATTGGTTTTGGATAAAGATATTAAAAGAATATTAAAAAAAATTCGAAAAAAGGGTCATATTTTTCAGTCGTTCAGTGCTTTTTTCAGACGTTGGCAAAAATGCCGGATAAATATTCAGAACTTCACATGGAAGTATAGTCTAGAATTCTATGAAAATTTAAGGAATGAAATTACCCGTAAATTGTATATGGATTTTGTATTAAATTTGACTCTTTGGATCACAGGACGGGTTGGATGTTTGGTTTACTAAAATGTTTCCCCAATAGATGGAATATTTCTCAAAAATTTCAAAGAGTTGCAGGGCGACATCTATATTTCATAGGTTTTTCTCACCACCTCAACTTCAAGCAAGGGGTGCTTTATCAATATTATTGGCAACACTAGGTTTGTGTCTCTGATTTGGAATTTTGATAAGATTTTGTGATTTAGTTATAGGACCCCCACTAACTAACTATTAATGTGGGAATTTTAAATAAAAGAAATTATAAAGCCTGAAAAAATGAATGGAATGAATTTTAACTCATGAGGCTATTTTTTTGGGATGACAGTTCTTTATTTTTTATTTGCTGGACTTTTTTTGGAACAGTTTCTCAATGTTTACTCTTCTTCCCACAGTCATTTCGCCTCGGAGAAACTTTTCTCCTTTCACCTTCCTATGAAAAAATTAAACCTTCACAGCAAATATATAAACAAATCAAGAATACATCTCCTCCGAAGCGACATGAAGTATAGTCATTGATTTTTCGCCTCCTCAACTTCAAGCAAAGAGTAAATTATCAAAATTATTGGCACCACTTGGTTTGTGTCTCTCATTTGGAAATTGGATAAGATTTTGTGATTTAGTTATAGAACCCCCACTAACTAACTATTAATGTGGGAATTTTAAACTGACAGAATAAAGGAAATTATATAGCCTGAGAAAAATGAATGAAATGAATTTTTATCTCTATGAGCATATTTTTGGGGATGACAGTTCTTCATTTTTTATTTGCTGGACTTTATTCTTATGGACTTCTTTGACAATTTCTTTTTTTCTGAAGAGTTTCTCAATTTTTCCTCTTCTTCCCACTGTCGTTGTGCCTGGGAGAATTTTTTCTCCTGAAAAGAGTGAACCTTCACAGCAAATATAAACAAATCAAGAAAAGATCTCCTCCGCAGTAATTCATTGTGGAGGGTGTAAATTAGTTACATTATATTTTTTGCACCAGACATGTGTGAGGCTTTCTTCACAGAACACTTGAAAAAGATGTGGAAACAAATCGGTCACCTATTAGTTGTCTCTCTAAGTGATGGGATAAATGATAAATTGGCCACGGGTAGTTATCTTTTCGTATTTTTTCTACTTTTTATGGATCAGGGAACCTCTGGCAATAGTAAAAAAATATTTCCAAAGAAAACATTTTTTGTGAAAACTTTTTTTGCTCTAAAACATTTTTCTAAAAATAATAAAGGCAATTGAAGCGCGTGTGTGCGTAGTTCATTGGAGGGCATGTTTTTCGTTTCATGTTATTGGTCTGGAGTGGGGGAGATGCGTGTGCAACAAATCTGTCTACTAGCGCAAATTAACTTTATTAATTTTATTAAAACAATTTTTTTTATTCAAAGATTTAGTCAGTCATAGCTAGGCAACAATTTGTGAGAGAATGTCTTGTCAGAAATTCGTTTTAAATCGACGGAGGGTTTTAGAGGAGAAGGGGTGGGAGGGGGTCTCTGATGAATTTGTACAAATTACCCATCTCATATCAATTGTCCGAAATGCTGTCCAAACACACAAATAACATTTGTATTAATTTACTAAGTCTAGCTTGAATTGTTTACAGTTTGAAAGGCATTGTAAACAAAAGTTTCACTTTTTGAAGCATACTTTGAGGCTGTTACTATTGACTTGCAAATGGAAGGGAAAAACTACTATTTTTATTAAATTGTTTGTGATTTTTGCTCTCAAATATTAAATATTTTGCATTAACCCTTTGTCACCCGCTTCTCCGTGCCGGATTTGACCCTCTTACAACCTGTGGAAAAATAGAAAATATTTTTACATTTTTAAAGAAAAAAATCTTTGAAAGTTCCATAACTCACTCAAAGGTATTTCATAGTTCAAACCATATTTGCCACTCCGTTTGCGTCTGGAACTGACTTCCATTATGTCCGGTATTAGAATATCCGGAGAGGGGCCATTGGTGGGATAAATATTGCTAATAGTCTGAGAAATAAAAAATAGAAAGAAATAAAATAAAATAAATAAAAATAAAAAAAAAATAAATTAATTAATTAATAAAAATTATTCAGAAATGGTTTATTTCCGAATAGTTGTGAGATTTAGGGCCGGTTTCGGGATGTCAAAAAATTAAATTAATAAATAATAATAATAATTCGAAAGGAAAACACCGATGTGTTTTCGAATTTCTGATTTTTTTTTTATTTAAATAAATTTGTAAACTTTAAAAAATCGGAAAAAATCTTTGGCATCAATTTTCCATTGACATTCATGAACAGGCTGTTAAAGCTTGAACAGCTTTTCAACACCACTCGAAAGGGACCCTTGGCAGATTGCTATTTTTTATTTTTTTTTTAATTTACCCCCCCCCCCCCCATTCCATATCCCCCACTCACCGTGAAAAACATTCTATCATTCCATTCATCCACCTCTGAAGCAGCTATGGACACATAATCCTCATCCTTCTCTTCGTATTCACCAATATAAGAGTTATAGGCATCTGGAGGATATACCGATGCAAATCCACTATTTTCATTTTCAATATCGCCATTCAGATAGTACTGACTTTCATCATTGAAGCCATTTGGAGATGCTAGGAAGTGGTGGTAATTTTCTTCATAATTATAAAGGTATTGAGGGGATGCCAAGGCCATATAGAGGTGGCAGAGGCATGAAATCAGAGAAAGCGCTGCCAACATTTTCACTGGAAATTTGAAGGAAAACTAAACTTGGTCGTGGGGTTTGATGGTGGCTTTATAACCAAAGACGGTTCTAGGTTATTTTTGAAAGTAGCCTAAGTGCAATAATTCACTAAAACGTTATATATGGGGGTTTTCTTTGGATTAGAAAGGATAATTAAAGTGGCCTTCTAAGGCAAAAAAAGAGCCATGAATCCAAAGGTTTTCGATGAATAAGCGAGAGAATTCCCTTCAGAAAGTTTGTGACAGAACGAATATCACTAAAACGGACCTATTAAAATTGAGAGTCATTCTTTGAATCTCCTGTAGGCAAATCTGCTATCTACGGAGGCCGCTTTTTATAAATAGACAAATTATTAGAGTCTGATCTTTATATTAAATATCTCTTTTAGTTTTGACATAGGCATAGGAATACACGCTCCATTCATTGGCTTTTATGCACGCTCCATACATTTATTCTGATGCCACGTCGATTAATACGAGCGGAGAGCTACCATCGGCTGTTATGGCGGCCCACACCATTACCATGGCTGGCGCTTGTATTCTGGTGGCCAACCGAAGGTGCACATTTTCAGCTGACTTCTTTGGCAAGCAAACACGATCATTTTATTTTTTTACAAACTGCTCTGCAGGACAACGAATGTTCTCTTATCGAAGAAAACCAAACCAAAAAAAAAAAAAAAATAGATTTTTTACATTTTAAAATCCCATTCGTAGTTAGGTTACTTTCCCTCTCAACCCCACCCACAAGCAGTAAATACACGATAATTTTTAATGAACGAATCACGTTTATTTTTTAATTATATTTTATTTTTTTTTTCAAAGAATTTTTTTTTAACTTGACATCCAAGTAAATATATAGAAAACTGAGATAGATGCAATTTTTTTCGGAAAATAAAATTTTCTTAAAAATCATAGTTGATATCCTCATCCACGGGATAATCACCATCTAGAGCTGAAAATAAAATTAAGCAATTAGTATAAATTAATTCTATTATACAGGAAAACATGTCACAAATGGATGATATTTGGAGGCTATTTTCAAAACCATTTTATTCTCAAACCACTTTTTTCCTTTTTTCAAAAAAAAAAAAAAAAAAAAAAAAACTCAAACTGATGTGTAATTTGACCCCATTCTCCCACTCAAATGGAATTTGAGCCTATTTTCAACTACGTCGTAGCTTTCGAGGGCTTTCCTTATTGTATTTGTTGTTATTACTTACCTTCATAATCCTTCATCTTTTGCGAGAATTCATCAAAGAATTTTTGCAATTGTTCCAATTGCTTCTCTTCATCATCGGACCAATAATTTGTTGGCATGGAATCCTGATACCAAGAATAAAGAAAATGCTATGAAATAATTCTCAATAACTCAAAAAAAAAATAATAATAATAATAATAATAAAATAAAAATAAATAAATAAAAAATAAAATACAAAATAAAGCTCAAAGAAATATTTATTTATTGAAAATAAAAAAATAAAATAATAAAAAGGTAAGTTCGGCCGGGCCGAACTTTAAATATCCTCCACCATTTGGTACAAAAAAAAAAAAAATAATAAAAATTAAAATCCGGTAAAATTCCGTTAAATTCTCAAAATTCCGAATGTAGCCGTATATTAGGATCTATACGACGACGTGGACCTGCATACACAACTTTTGTCATGAACCTGCATAGACAATTTTCTGTCATAGGCTGTAGTATCCATTACGAACTTCAAATGCGAAATTTGAAACAATTCCGGTATATAATGTCGCTAAAATCATCAAAATACCGCATATCGGGAGGTACCGTTATATGGAGGCTATACGAAGACATGGACCTACATGGCTCACTTTCGGTCTTGGGATGTAGTATCCATTACGAACTTCAATTACCAAATTTGAAACAATTCCGGTAAATAATGTCGCTTAAATCATCAAAAAACCGAATATCGGGGAGTTCCGTTATATAGGGGCTATACGAAGACATGGACCTACATGGCCCATTTTCTCTTTTAGGCTGTAGTATCCATTACGAACTTCAAGTGCCAAGTTTAAAACAATTCCGTTGAATAATGTCGCTAAAATCAAAATACCGAATATCGGGATGTACCGTTATATGAGGGCTATACGAAGATGTGGACCTACATGGCTCATTTTCTGTTTTAGGCTGTAGTATTCATTACAAACTTCAAGTACAAAATTTGAAACAATTCCGGTAAATAATGTCGTTAAAATCATTAAAATACCGAATATCGGGAGGTACCATTATATGGGTGCTATACGAATATGTGGGCCTACATGGCCTATTTTCTGTCTTCAGCCGTAGCATCTATTACGAACTTTAAATATTAATTTTGAAACAATTCCGGTGAAACAATAGAGTGATTTCCACAGACGGATAGACTGACGGACATTGTTATATCGACATTGAATTTTATGCTGATCAAGAATATATATACTTTGTGGGGTCTAAAATGTATATTTCGAGGTGTTACAAATGGAATGACAAACTTAATATACCCTCCATACTATGGTGGAGTGTCTAATAATAATAAATAAAACTGCACTGTCAAATAGGCTTCTATAGGAAAAAAGCCAATTTAAATGGTCTCGAATAAACATGAGGACATTTTATTAAATACGAGCATCCACCGGTGTCGCTTTCTAAAAAAGAGATCATTAAAGAAAAAACTATAATTCTAGTTTTCTTTATAGAAATTAGAGTGGTGAGATAGCTCTTGTACTTGAACAGTTCTGTTTTCAAAACAGCCTACTCTGAGCGTAATTTTCTCCACACTCGCAGTTAGGCCTATTTATATCCAATGCAATCAGAGAGCAACAAAATTGGGGAAACATAAATGACTCTCTGCACGACCCCGTTTTAAAACCTCTCTTCCAAGAGAAAGAGAGTTAAATGACATTCTAGCATGTAATGAAATTTTAAATAATATTTTATTGGAATCATTTTGAAAACACTCAAAAGGTTTTTTAATATTTAAAAAAAGTGATTCAATTTTTCACTTGGGAATATTTCAAATTTGTATCACAATTTTTTTATATTTCTAAGGAATCTAAATAAAACTTCCTTCCATTTTGTTTTGTTGGCCAACTTACCACAAAATTAGCACAAATCACAGCCAGAACTACAAATAAAAATACCTTTACCAACATGACGTGGTATGAATATTAGCACAGAAATCCACTCAGACTTATTTAATGTTCCAACTTGTTTTCAATACAATTTTGTGGAAAATTTCATTTTGGACTTTTATACCAAAACGATAAGAATCAATAAATGGTCGATTAGTAAAAATTACTTTCCGCTTGAATGAAGGTCAATAATTATGGTTTGGGGTAATTTGGGAAAGAATGGAAAATTCTTTCGAAAGGTCAGAAGTGTTTAAAATACAAAAAAATAATAATAATAAAATAAAAAATAAAAATAAAATAAAAAAATAAATAATAGACAGACCGTAGATTTATAACTTTTTTATTAAATAAAAATCATGAAATAAAAAAAAATTGAGAAAAAAAATATTTTTTTTTGTATACCCTCCTCCATACTATGGAGGGTATATTAAGTTTGTCATTCCGATTTCGACATCTCGATAATATGATTTTAGACCCCACAAATTCTAGAGTGATTTTCACGAGCGGACTGACTGACAGACGGACGAATGTTTCCAAACTGACTTAGCATCTCTTGCAGATCAATATTTGTAGATATACAGGGTAAGATGAAACAACTGCAGCCAAATTCAGACAGTTGCCATTCCTAAGCCACTCGTTCGACAAAAGTTAAAATTATTCCAGTGACAGCTCATTATATTGTTTACAAGAGTACAAAAGAATTTCGGTGAGAATTTTTCAGAAAAAAGTCATTCGTGATAGTGTGATTTCTTTATATTTGGCTGGAAAACCACAAGTGGATAGATAGAGCAGGATAGAGCACTCCTGCATAATCTAATATCTTTTGTGTCTCGTACCATCGCTCGTTACTTTGATACTGGTAGCGTAGCCCAACGTCAAGGAAGTGGACAGAAGAGATAAGCAACAGCAGAAATGGTTCGAAAATTAAAGAAGCGACTTGATCGAAACCCGCCTCGCAGTGGCCGAAAAATGGCTCGTGAGCTGAACATATGGCAATATTCCATTCGGCAAATATTGAAAAATGAGCTCGGGGTAAAGCCATTGAAGTTCCAAAAAGTGCAAGAACTTACACCGCAACAGAAAGTAAATAGACTCAAAAGAGCTAAAGAGTTGCTTCGCTTGGCCGAAGGTGGTGAACTGCCAAATTTGGTTTCTCCGATGAGAAAACATTCGTTGTCCAGCAGGGCAGTTTGCAAACAAACAAAATGATCGTTTTTACTAAAAGGTCAGCTGAAAATGTGCACCTTCGGTTAGCCACCACAACTCAAGCGCTGGCCATGGTGATGGTGTGGGCTACCATAACATGCGATGGTCGCTCTCCGATCGTATTAATCGACCATGGCATCAGAATAAATTCCAAATATTATAGCGAAAATATTCTGGAGGGTGTATTAAAGCCTTGGGCACGCAAACATTTGGCCGCAGACCTTGGACATTTCAACAGGAGTCAGCACCATCGAATTCAGCACGTGCCACCTAAGAATGGTTACAGAATGATGTTCCTCGCTTCATTTCCAGCGAACAATGACCATCAAAATCTCCGGATGCCAATCCGTTGGACTATTGTGTCTGGAGTATTTTGGACAGAAAGTTTGGCACTAAAAAATACCAAAGTGTCGAACACCTCAAGCAAGCGCATCGCCGGGAATGGTCAAAAAATGTCGCAGAGCAACATTTGGGCAGCGTGAGACCGTTTCATTGGCCGTTTGAAGGCCAAAAGATTTACATGTTCGTGCAATTTCTATTTTTTTTTTTTTTTGAAAATTTTGTGCATTATATTTTTTTAAAACTATTTTTACAGATTTGATTTTCAAAACTAATTCCGAATTTTGTACATTTTTTCATTCCATCTCCAATTAAAATC